GTATGATGAAATATTCTGTTTGGAGAAGATTCTTCCAGATGCGATGCCACGCCTTTGGAAACACAGATAATGAAATTTGAAAACAGATCTCGTCCTGCTGTGGATATTACAGGCTCTCTCTCTCTGTGCATCCTTAAAAAGTATTTGTAAGGCTCAAATCTGAGCTCGGTTTGTTACGCCTGAATGGGTGAATGCGTTCCTGTCCATTATTCAGCCGCCCATCTCTTGGTCCAGATCAGAACTCAACATGTTCCTTTCGAGAAATATGCTTCAAAAGAATCAAAAAAATATATATAAAAAAGATGATTTGCTCCAGTCTCACCTCGGCCTTGTTGTAGAGGAACTCATCAGGAGCTCAGGTGTGGAAACGCGCTGTCCTCCTTATCACCTTCACCGGGATGTTTCGGGTTTTAGCCGTTCCTTCTGCCTTTCCTTACCTCTCAACCTTTACCTCGTTTCCTTCCTACTCCTTGGAACACGGTCATTCTTTTTGCTCCGACAGAAACCTTTTATCTTCTACCCACTGATGAGAAGCATTATCCACTCATGCTCTCGTTCCCATGCCCTCTCACTCCCTGACTTCCTCTTGCTCTTCTCTTTTTAATGGTCCTTATAAACCCTCTCCATACTATGACCTTTCTTCACTTTCTTTCCCCCTCTATGCAATTTCCTCCACTGATTTTCTTTTATTTATTTTTGGCCTTACAACCAGTCTATCTCCAATTTCTTTCTTTCTTTCTATTTATATCCAATTTCTTCTATGTCTTCTCCGTAATTTGGGGGCAGATGTTGACTCAGACTGATTAGAATTTGGACCGCGGCGAGACTCCGCCGGTGATCAAAAGTCGCGTGTGCAAAACGGCCAACTATGTACGAACGGCGACAAATTTTCCGGTCGAGCAGTTTTAGTGGAAAAGCAATTAGGATTTGGAATTAGTGCTCAAATTGAATCGGAATTAAGCAGGCTCAGTTTTCCCCTATATGCACGGCGTTCGCCTCTCCTGGACCTGAGAGCGGCCTATTATCGCATCCCAGCATCCTCTTTGTCGAAACGAAGGGCAGCGGCACCAACATGTGGTCCACCTCATCCCCCCCTTTACACACACACACACGCCAACCTACAGGACTGGAAGAGGTTCATTATATATCGACACAGCCCCATGTTCTGTAATTGTTTTCCTTTTCTCAGTCCTGCTCTCGGACCTCCTTTTCCTGCTTGCTGGTCAAAGTGACAAATCCTGCTTTGAAACTTAATGAAGTTTGAAATAGAATTTGAGGCCACAATTATCCTGTCCGCACGGGCTGTTGCAGGGAATGATGGTGCCACCGAAACCCAATTACAGGAAGTGAGACCCCAGCTAAGGGCTCAGACCCAGAGGGAGCCACGGAGTCTGCGATGGGTCCGCCGGCCGCTCTGCATCTTTCCCACTGTGAGATTTGAACGGTTATGGAACGAGACGGAACTTGTGCGTTCCACTGTGATTTTTTTTTTTTTGTGCCGATTGACTTTGATTGCTATTGATGTGACGCAGCCTAATTAATCTGCCCCGAAGTTTTCAGCTGATTTTTGTCTATTGTTATGCCTTACTTCAGGGGGCATCAAACTCTTGTGGGCCAGATCAAGATCATGAATATCCTGGAAGGGCCGGTTGTGGTGAAAGGTGTTGAAACAATCAATTAACAAACCTCTAAATAATAAATAGTTGCCTCTGCATTCGATCAGTACTTCTGCTTAAAGTTAAATAATATTGAATATCATTTCACATTGATGAAATTTGCCAGAATAGATATAAAAACCGTGGGCAATAATTGTGGAAACTAGGCAAAAATGAATTTGGCTATTTGAGAAATAGTCACAATTCTGACTTTTTTCTTTTTTTCCTCAGAATTCTCACTTTTGATCTTAGAAGATTAAAGTGAGAATAAGTCTGGGAAATTCTCAAAAAAAAAAAATGCAAGTCAAAACTCAGAGAAAAAAAGTCTAAACTATAAGAAAAAGATTCAAAACTTTTTTTCTTTCCGGTGGTCCTAATCCTCTGTGATTGATCAAATATTATTAAAGCGTAAACCACTTATTTTCAAGGTTCTATGTTTGTCTCCTTCTGGGCCTCATCAAACTTTACAGCGGACCAGAGGCGGCCCAGGGGCCTTGAGTTTGACACGTGTGCCTTACTTGAAGAGTAAATGAAAAACTTAGAAATTCTCAAATTAACGTACAACTTTCTTCCTTCTCCTTTTGTCACTTTTAAAACACTTTGCAAAAGTAGCAACAGCCATTGGACTTTTTCCTGTTTTGTTTTAGGTGCAGCTGCAAACATTAAAACTATTTGGCAGAATTTATGAGAACATGTCGTCATTTTAACAGGAAAAACCTGTTCATGACAACCTTAAAAGTGCCACTTATACTTGTAATCAGACCTCGCGTTCTAAAACTGTAAATATGCAGCTTCATTCAGAAGCCACCTAATTATGCCGTAGACTTTATCTACCAGAGGGAACGCATTAATCAGAGAAGTGTTGGAGAGGCCCATGCCAACTCCGGAGGAACTCTCCGCTCTACAACACAGCTGTCGTTGTTGTGAAAGCAAAGCGAAAGCTGTTGTTGAAAGAAAGCCAAAAGTAACTTAATGTTTTGCAGCAAAAGAAGACGCTTTAGTCAGATGAGGACACTCTTTTGGCCCGTTTGCAAAACACTGGCATGATGCGCAACACAGCCTGAACGCATCATTGTAAGAGATGTGTTCATAGCGGTGGCAGCATCATGCTACGGGCATCTTCAGCAGAGACAGAGAAGTGGGTTAAAGTTGACGAGGAGATGGATGGAGTCGAATTACATGCATTTATTCAAATATGTATTTGAATAAATGCATATTCACTCATGAAGTAACGCATTGTTCAAATATTGTATCGTTTTCCTCGCTTTTCACATTTGCGCAACATAAAAATCCAGCGTAGGTTGTAATTCTGAATATTTCTAAAGCTAAACGTGCTTTTGTGTGTGTTGTCGTTGTTGTTGTTTTTTTTACAATTTCTTTTTACTTTCCGGCCTTCCTTTTGTGTTTAATCTGCCTCTCCACCTCCGTCCCCTCCTCCTGCGAACTGACACACTCTCAGCAGCACCAGCAGCAGCCTGTAAATGGCCGCCTGATGGAAAGTGACATTTTCACAGAACCCTGTGAGAGAGGCGAGGCGATCGCTCCTCTTTCCAGCACAAAGTGCTCCTAATTGCCTGGTTGCATTTGCGAGCCCAGCTGACAAACTCGTGCAAATCAATAATTCTGCTCTGGGACTCGGGGGGCCCCTCCTCGCCCACCCCACCCCGCACTTCACCCTGCTACATACTAGGATGACACAAACAACAACACGCATGCATGCTAATGCTTAGATGTGTCTGGAAATGCATTTAGATGTACACAAATCCAGTCAGCACACACACACACACACAAGCAGAGAAATGGTGGCAAACATTCTCTCTGTCTCGCTGCCTTAAATGACAGAGTTTATCTGTGATTCCAAAACAAATGGGGAGAGAGTATCAAAGCATTAACAGCAGCCACTGTGCTGCCGAGGGCTGAAATAATGGATGGGGGAAAACGCTGGAAGACCCAGTGCTGCTCATTTCTAAATGGCCTCTGCAGCGGTGGAAACGTTGCGCTCCTTGCTTGAAATGTACAGAGGACAAATAAGTGCAGCTTAAAATGGGATCTTGTTTAATGAGTTTTGTGTTTGTGCTCTGTTCTGGAACGAGAGCCGTCTCTCTTAAAAGTCGCAATCCGGAACGGAAAATGTCACGGCAATTTGGGAACTCTGATGGACTCGTTTCAAGCCGCCCAAACGAGTCACCTCACGGTCGCCTTTTGATGTCTTTGACAAATTCATTAATAACAATAATAATAATGATGAGCCTAAAAAGCAGTCTTGCTTTTATTTAATTTGAAACGCAGGCGTGCAAATACGAGTGAGAGGAACTTTGGTTATTTTTTCTGATTGCAGCTTTTATCTGGCAAGCTTGATGCGGTCGGGGTGAAGAGCGATACCGCCAATTTGGTTTTTGGGCAACTTTGTGACTGTCCCAGACGTTTCATTTTGTCCAGTCACCGCCACAGGATTTCAGTTTATTTGTGTGTGTGTGTGTGTGTGTGTGTGCGTGTGTGTGTGTGTGTGTGTGTGTGTGTGTGTGTGTGTGTGTGTGTGTGTGCGTGTGTGTGTGTGCGTGTGTGTGTGTGTGTGTGTGTGTGTGTGTGTGTGTGTGAGCAATGCAAAGTTGACCACTGAAAAAGACGTCAAACAAAAGTGGCCCGAGAATGAACCCTTGAGGAACCCCACATTTAATTTTTCTGCGTCCAGAGATAAAATTTACTAATGACAGTGTAACCAAGTACATAACAACCTCAACCCTTTTTCCAGCCTAAAAAAAATCTTAAAACTATGTGTTAAATGCAGCACTGACATCGAGTAATACCGACGCCGAAGTGACTTTTACTGATGCGGGTCTGAAGACTGAAGCTGGTCAGAGTTGCTGCCCACAAAACAAAGACTGAGGCAGGCGGTCACCTTCCATCGACAACAACTTTTACTTGCACCTTCAACTTCATCTGATCTCAAAGGACAAGCCTTTGAGATCAGCGAAGAAACGCCACTCTAGATAGGGCGTGTATATTGAAAACAAACATTAAAGCAGGATGACACACTGACTCGAAGAAAGCGATTTCTAAAGAAAAACAGCTTCATGAGTTCACTAAGCTTGAACTATTTGACATAAGCGAAGAGACAAAAAAACTCTACTTGTGTAAAGCTGATGGAGGCACAACACAGGAAGTGGTTAAACAAACTATTAATTCATCTGGTTGTACACAAACCCTGCCCACGGCTTCACGACTCTAATTTTCTGTTTATGCTTTTAATTAGGTTTAACAAATGTGCGCCACTTTGTGTCGGTCTATTACAAAAAAAAACATCCACACGTCTCATTCCGACCCGTCTCTCTTTTTATTCCCCAGGCTCGTCCGTGATGCAAGTGATGGCCACGGATTCGGACGACTCCACCACGGCCAACGGCATGGTGCGCTACCGGATCCTGTCGCAGACCCCCCACAGTCCCATCCCCAACATGTTCACCATCAACAGCGAAACGGGAGACATCGTTACCGTGGCCGCCGGGCTGGACAGGGAGGTCAGTGATCGCTGTGATGTTGTGGGTTTTATTTTTTTGTTCTAATTAGTTTGTTGCTTCACCGACCAAAACATCAAACTTTTCCAAAAGTTCACAGAAACTATAACTTCCCACAGTTTTTATCTGGTGAAATGTGCTGCTATGACATGTAGAGAATGAGCCCAGAGTTTTTTTTTGTTTGTTTGTTTTTTTTAACTCCTACGTTTAAGATTAGCTGAAAACTATCGATAAGGAAAACAGATAAAGCCATTAACGCCAGTCCCTCCATTAACAGCGGATATTTTATTGAGTTCTTATCTCCAAACAAAAATGAGCTGAGGAATATTTAACACGTTGGTCTCGGTGCGGAGCGGGGGAGCCGAGATAATGGCCACGTAAATCCAGCACCTCTCTGCTGGCGGGGTCGCGAGAGGGTTTGTTTTATCGTTCTTCTTTGTCTCATCCGCGACTTATGTGCCGCTTTCTGTAGTCGCTCACCAACCCACACGCCGACACCGCCGCACTCGTCGTCCCTGCTCCGTCTTCCACCGTGGGCTGCTAATGAGGGAGGTCACGGAGGTCAACCTTTGTTTATTCCAAAGTCGGGTCTGGTTGCCTGTTCGTCCTCGCTTCCTCTGTCTCTCTTTTTCCGCACTCCGTGGAAGAACCCGGGTGGATTTTCTGTGGCTTTAGGTCGTGGGAATCAACCCTGGAGGGTGTTAACTTCATGTGCTGTCCAGAACCGGGATTGTCTCTCGTCCTCATGACTTACTTGGCTGATTTAATGGACACGCAAACGCAGCCCGGAGCAAGTATCGTAATGTTTATTTTCTAAAAACTCTCGTTTATATCTCTTCGTGCTAAAACCTGGCCAGAAAACTCCTTTTTTTGTTGCTGTTGCTGAGGGAATCATTATTAATCATCTCCAGGGGGGGAAAAAAGTCGGTATTATAACAAGATAAACAATACATCAATCCCTCTCCCCTATCTAAATTTTTATAGGGAGCTGGCATGGCTTTACAGAATGGCACATTTGTGCGACAATATAAATGAATCTAGTGAGCGCCTGCCAGGGCTTTGTCCCTGTTTCCAGCCTGGCTCAGGCCGGAGCCCAAGCAAAGCTGATGTGAGCGAGGAAAAAGCTCATTAATCTGGACACATCGAGACCCGGCGCCGCACCCACCTGCCTTTGATCCTCACTCTAAAACTGGGACACACCTGGGAGTTCATCCACCTGCTGTGAAGGTCGTCGACATGAGCGAACGCTCCGCGCTCTTTAAGTGCTTCCGAGCCGGAGGCGGGGCGGGGGCGGGGAGAGGAAGAGGTCTCTGAGCAGCTAAAGTAGCGTGTGTCATGCAAAGACATGAACATTCCCCACTCACCGCGTTGACAGGGAACACATGGTTAACGCCTGTGTAGTACATATATTTATATTCTGTATCCTGTCACACTCCTGCTAATCCTGCAGCACCACGCTGGCGTCTAATTAGCATATTCATGGGCTAACTAAGAGGGGAAGCAGGTTTTCTCCCGTTGAGGAGGAAATCAGGGGGTAGATGAAGGGTAAGATCGGTGTCACTTACCTCTGACTTTGAAATATACCAATTATTCTTCCTCACTCTGCACATCACATACTTCACACCTCGGAGGGAACAAGCTAACCAAACAACACGTGTCGATTAATTCCTGAAATTAAAAATGACAAAAAATCAAATGCAGAGTGCAGGTCAGAGATCCCAAAAGATGTCAGGAATCTGACGCCTAGCTTTGGTTTTAGCTGTTAGTCTGTCAACATGACTCGCTGAGTCGGGAATATAATTGCGATGTGGAAAAGAAAAATTGTCAACACCTGGATGATACAGACAAAGTGTGTCACAATTCACAGGTCAGACAAAAGTTGACTTAAAAAAATAGCGAGGCAGAGGGAAGTAGGTCAGCTACGCTAGCTTGACTTTGACGATCCTAGGATGTAGCAGTGCCGTGGAACTTAACGTTTTTGCTTCAGTTAAAAAACAACAACAAAAACAGGCGACTCACGCAGAGACCATCAGTCGAGCAGCTGTTTAAATGAGCTAATCCACCACCGCAGTGATCAGACGATCACTTATTAATAATCGCAAAATGAACATCAAGTCTGAAAGCCTAACCCTGTAATGGATCGAATGTTCGGTTCTTTGTGTTTTAAGTTTTTTCATGTTTTGTTTTTGGGATGAATCCTGATAGTGGACTACTGTCAGTCAGTTGCTATGGCAACAGGTCGGTTTTATGATTCGGTTTTTCACAGTTTTTTTCCTGCATTATTTTTGCCTTTGCTGTGACGCACAGCACTAAATTAATACCTACATTTCCAGGTTTAATTTTGTTGATGAAACTGTTTTGCCATGGCAGCGTAGTTATGGGTGAAAGAGTAAATCCACCATAACCAAGTCGATTTATTGGTATTTTGTCATCTTACAACCTCAATTGTTTTTTTACGTTTTAGTTTTTTCAATAAAAGTTAAAATACATTTCAACATATGATTAAATGACGTTATTGTGTGCAATTTGGTGATAACATCACATTTCTTTATGTGCTAAAGAAGCTTCTTACAAATGGGCTTTTCAAGAGCAGTGTCTGTGTTTGTGGGGCTGTAATTGCTGCGGCATGCAGTCACAAACATAGAGTTGTAAAAAGTTCTTATCGTCACTTTTATTGTTATCACAACAGCGTCTCAAATCATCATGATAAAACTTTCCACACCTCTGTCTGTTGTGCTTGAGAGGGTTAAGCTGAAGGGAGGGGAAAAAATCAAATCGGCTTTTTAGATTTGGTCGATTTTGTTTGTGTTCCCCCAACACTGCACTAAAAGCAAATTTAGTTGTTAGCCTGGTACAGGAATGACAGTCTTCAAATGAAGTACAACTCTGATGCCGCAGGTAGACGAGTCCAACATGTCAAAGAGCCACAGCTGGCATGGACTCGCTCTCATTGCGGCCCTTTTCCATGCCAGCAGTTTGTCTGGCAGGCAGGGCTGTTGTCTTTCATTACCCCCGGCTGTCTCAATCTCCCATGAGCCCTGGCTCGGAACTGTCTGGTGGTTGTTGTAGGTGGGGCGGTGAGCGGGGAGGGGATCGTGGTGCACCAAGCTGTCCCCCCGGGGCTGATGCCAGCTCCACACTGGACCGCCTCACCGACGATTAGGACATCTTCTGAGCTGCCTCAAGGACAAGAGCGGCCCACAGCCTGGCTCCACAAGGATGTGCAGAGCCTAACCAGGGGATACAGGCAAGAGAACCTGCATCCTAAATGGGCCCAGGGCTGTATTGTCTCCGAGATGCTGAGTTATGTTAATTCGCCCTGTTTATCCGGCGCTCCAGAGGCCAGACGGCAAAAGTCATCAGAGGATTACGAGCTGGTTGCTGACTGAAAAGTATTGATGCATGTAGGTGGATGCTGACTGCTTGTAAGCGAGCATTTAATCAAGAAAATATCCACTCAATATCCACTTTATTATGCGTGCCGAGTTAGCATTGAGCCGTGCCGCGGATCGCCTTCAGAAGAAACTGCTTAATTTATGCTCCTCTGTTAAATAAATCGATGTCAGTGCTCTTGCTAAAATTTTTTGATTTTTTTTGAGCACCACTTTGTTTTATCGTAAGGCTCTGAAATGTTTTGCTTTACAATACAAGTTGGAAATTTGATCTTTATGATGTGCATAAACTCTTGTTCTATTGTGGAAGAACAATCCCACAATGAGCTTTTCAAACTAACAAAAACAATCAAACAGAAAACCCGCAACAAAAAGTGACATCCTGGTAACAATGCTAACAACTGGGCCATTGTGCGTCTCATGTCCAAAAAAAGTAGAGATGTTGGTAGCATCCTAATTCATACATCCTTTAAATCTTGACATGGATTTGAGAGAGAAAGAGAAAAAAAAAGCCAAACGACTTGTTAACATCTCTGCTGTTTGACCACGGAGGGCTAACAAAAAACCAAAACAAGCTAAAATGAGGTTAGCAACAACAGTCAGCAATTTCAATTACTGTCTCTGTCGGCTTTGTGGAGGCTTTCTTATTTAGGAAAGAACTTGTTAGGATAAAAATGAACCTCATTCATGCCTTTCATCTTTAATATTTCTCCGGCTACAACTAACTGCAGGCTGTTGGTAAATAAAAATGCGCTAATATGTGTTTAGCTGGTGGCATTTTATACCTGAATGGATTATATTTAAGTGCTTTCAAGGAACTTTGAACTTGTAGGGGTAAAAAGGAACTAAACTTGCTAAAAAAAAAAGACTTTAAGAGATTACAAATCATTTTGTTCATGTATGTGTACGTTCCTCGAAGCTTTGAGAAAACAGACGTTTTGAGGCGATGTTTCGATAAATCCCGACAGACTTTGCGATAACTTTGTGTCTACTGTTTTATCTGGTGAACAAAAGCATAAAATAGCAATGAGGTAATTTTCTAATGGCATTACAAAACACAAGCAACCTCCTCATACCGTCTAAAAACGCCTTTAGCGACAAACTAAACTAGCACTAACGTAAGCTAGCTTCTTAGCATCTTACTGGCTAATGTTACATTTTGCTCCCACACTGGTTTCTAATGCCAAGTTAAAACGATGAACACGCTCACCGAGCACCGTCATCCTTTGTTTGCTCGTAATATTTTAGTTCAAACTAAGTTTGTCTTTTGCTTAATTCTGAATTTAAAAGATTTTTAAAAAATGTCTAGCAATTACAAAATTAGGATAACATTAATATACAACGGCATTAAATGTTGCGTGTCAGTAATGACTTAATGACCACTTATTAAAGTGAAAACAGTGAAGGTAACTAAAGCCCCGGTTGGTGCAAAAGGGATAATGTTATTGTAAGTGAACACAAACTTTATCTTGTGTAAAATAGTTGCATCTTTTTTTTACATGAGCATTATTGTACAACGCCATAATCTCTATTTGTAACACTGCAATGATTTAGTTCTGTGTATCATCAGACTCTTCAGCTTTATTAAAAATCCTTAATTATGCTCCCAAC